ACCGGGTGATATTTCTCTGGCAATTGTGTAGGTGCTCGTCGAATTTTTTCCGAGTGATAAGAGCAGTTATAATAAATATAGGCAACAAGTTGCAGGAGGCGAGGACCCGGGGGAGTTTTGTTTGAACTGTTGTACCAAAGGCGAAGAGGGCTGACATTCGCCACTACATCACACCCGTTCCTCTTTTACGTGTCAACCCTCTGGTTTACACTCGTGTGTCTCTCCTATAGCTACTCCCCCACTCAGTCATCCCTTTGAAAAAGGAACAGCAATTCAGAGGATAAAAAATATTTCCAACACGCCACCCCCTCATCCCTCTCCGCGGGGTGAAAAAAAATTAACCGTGAAATTGGCATTAAAATGATTTTTTAAAACGAAAACCAACGCGTCATTTTGGGTTATAAAAAATCTACTGTCAAATACCCTGTCATGATATTATTTATGACATCATCAGGACAAATTTTCGCACAAGCTTTATTGACTATACTGCCCTTTCTGAAAAAAATCTTCTCTCCATAAATCGAGTATTCCCCATAATTTTCAATCACAAAGTTCTCACACCGCCTTATATTCTCCCGGTGTAACAATAAGTAAACCAAAAATACAAGAGCATTAATGTCTCATAAAACAAGTGAGCTTTGACATTCATTAGTGAGCCAGTGAGAATTCATACAGCCAGTTGGACCAGCTGTATATCCTCGGTATTTGCTAAAGCCAGACGCAAAACGAGCACAAGTACACAAGTGCTGCACGCGCGATTTACGAACACATAAAATTTACCCTCCCCTTCATCTCCACCCTCTTTCCCACCCACCCAAGAGCTTCCAGTATTTGTGGCACTTTCGGCCTAGCCAGTCGGTCCAAAATGAAATTACACATTGCACTCTCACCCCTACCCCCTCCACTCAATTCTTTACGCAAGTACTTTCCGTGTACTTTAATTTAATTCAACTCTTGAAGATGATAAATTGATTTCCACCCCTCGCACCCCCCACCCAGATAAAAATTCAATAATTCTATTACGACTGGCTGCACAAATTCGCGTCTTTCAATAATCGTAATTAAAAAATAAACAACGAAAAAGGAGAGATACGATTTATTTGATAATTATAATTATTTCAAGCCTCTATTTTTTTTTTGTAATTCAACAATTTCTCATTGTGATAAATTTTTTTGTCGGTGTGAGCGATTATCCCGTTGATTAAAACCCGGGACGAAATGGAATGGAAGAAAAATGAATTGGAAAGAGTTCTCTGGTGATGTAGAGAGAAAAAGATGATGATTGAGCATTGTGATGGTATCGAGGGCTTTATCGAGTGAATTGAACATGAAACGGAATAGCGCACGTGAACGAGAATGGACACGTGCAGGGGATATCGTACCGTAAATGTATATCACTTGTATTGTTCGATAAAACGATAGAGAATCGCATAACTTGTCGGGTTACATTGTAACAACCGGGGGTGAACCGTTGGGGGATGTGAGTCACATGTATTTAGCATAATAAATCGTACACGGGGTAATGAGAGTACGCGTCGGTGAATCCACTCATTAGAATTTTTTCGGCTCACTGTTGTGAGATTTTAGGGGGAAAAAAAAATTGTTCATTAAAGCTGATAATGGTGGGATGGATAATTATGCAGAATTTTCCGTACTTTCAGAGATTTTTCGTTTTTTTTTTTATTTGCAAAGGAGGAATATCTAAAATGTAGAGATTTTATTGCTTCAATTTTTTAATGAATGAAAAATTGGAAAAATGAATGGAAAAATTAATGTTTTTGTTATAAATTTTAGAGAGGTTGTTGCGCGAGTGAAAGGGGGAGTTGTAAGAATTTTTTTCTGACATTACATTTATTTTTGATATTGAGAAACTTTTTTTTTTCTACCGTGTTGTCAAAGAGAATAATAAATTGAACTTTCCAAGTAATTATTTATGATTTTTTTTAAGACTTCCAAAATTTAATGACAAATTCGTTGAAATAGATGAATCATCGTTTTTTATATCGTCTTAAATGGATTAATTAAAAAAAAATAGGTATGTAAAATATAATTGATAAATTGTTTTTGCATTGATATATGTTTCGCTCATGTACCACATACATGTGACTCAATATGAAAAGGGCATGGAAAAAGGGCCGGAGGTTAAGACAGGTGAAGACACGGTGGACTTTAACTCGAAGGGATATATAAATAGTTGGCGCCAACGAGATGGTGAAGAGGTTCCCCTCGCGGGACCCCACGCCACAAGGTCGACCCTCCATGTCTCCGGGTGCACAATTCCACGTACGACAGTGAAATCAGAAGGCACCAAGAACACGTAGCATTCGATAGAAGAGAGAAAAAAAAAGAAATGAATACTAGCCAGACAGGCGCCATCCCCATAAAACAAAGAGAAAAAAAAAAACCTGAAGAGAGGGTAAAAAAAAACGCTGAGGACTTCATCCCCATTTTTTTTTTTTCTACCCCAGGTGAGATTATTATGGGGGCCGTCAATTTCTTTTTTACCCCCGTCTTTCGGGAAAAATGCACCACTTGAATATCTAGTCGTTCCGTCGTACCATCGTACCATCCGGGGAGGCTGGGATGAGGGGATGGGGTGGCACGGGGGGTGAACCTGAGGGAGAAAATTTTAAACATGGCGGGTGCCGAACAGTCAGGCGCACCACGCATCGATCAATAGCGCCTTGTTTAATATCAGTTCTCAAACTCCTCTGTACAGCCATCGTCAAGACTCCCCTATCAATTTTATCGTCAATTTTTCCACGAAAATGAGAGGAAAATGAGAGGAAAATGTGAAAAAAAAATGGAATATTTTCAAACGATACGAACGTCTCTATCGAATTTTCCTACTATTTTTAGTTAAAGCGTTTCTGCAGGGAAATTGCTTCCGCAGTTGAGAGTGGATTTTTTCTTTTTTTTTTTTTCGTTTTTACGGAAAAAAAAAATGCGGATGCAAGCTGAAGAGTACATGGATCCCTTCTCCGAGGAGGGTGAGGGGTTTCTGTAGCCGCGAGGGGATAAACACGAGAAATGTGCAAAAAGGGATGATCGTAAACATCGTCGGGCGTTCAAGTGCCTCTCAACTCTGAAACCACCCCTTTCGAACTCACGCCACTTCCGGGCTACACCCTCCCACCCCCTACCTACCCCGCTGCGACTATTCTCTCGTGTTTCGTGTGCCTGTCGATGGGGTGGAATTTTTTGTCGGGCCGTTCGAGGGTAAATGGCCATTCAATGAAACACTTGTATCGGGTGCTTACGGGATTTCTAGGGGCTCGAGGGATATTTTAGTGGACTTACCCTTGTTGTACCCTTTCCTCGGCCTCTCCCTCGCTCTCGGAATGCACCTTCTCCCGTTTGGAGGTGGTATAAATGCTGGAACAGAAATTAGATGTTCATATTATTTTAAAAAATTGCGCACTTTTTATTTTTAATTGAAAGGTTCCACTTGGGAAATCTAGGTTTTAACTCCCGAATTTTTATTCGATACCTCAGAGTTTTATATTGAGAAATTTCCAAAAGTCCGGACTTGGAAATTCTCGAAATTTCAATTTTATTTTTTATTTAAAAGTCCCAACTCAAGTGGAATGAACTTGAATTTAAGTTTCAGTACAACTTTCATATCCACACCTAAAAAATAATCTTCTTGAATAATTGTTGATAAAATAGTTAATGGAAAAATGAATACCCCCGGCGGTACGAGAACTCTGCGTTACCAACGGGAGATGAAAAAAAAATTTTCAATAAAAATAATACGATCCGCGGGTAAAGAAGGAACTGCTCGTTTCGACGATGGTCCTGAGAGCCACCTTTTACTCGCATCAGAAAACTTTTCAGCGGCTGCGCACAATTTCACCGGGTGAAATTGATTTTTTTGCGCGCCCGACACGCACAAAATTAAATTACGCTCCAAACGAAATTCACTGAACCGCGACGAGAGATGCCTGAATGAGAAGTGAAGTTCCCGCATTATACTTCCCAAAAAATTTTTTTGTCCGATCCCCCTCTAACTTAATCAAGAGCCCAAAGGATAGGCTCCAGTTGTTCGAATACAAAAAGCGAATTCAATAATCATAAATCAATTTATGATCAAGGCCATCATAAAAGAATTCATATCTTCTGTACAATTTCAATAATTCGTAAGTGAAACTAAAAAAATTGAAATAAAATAAAATAAATATTCCCTAGCAATCATGAATCATCAATTCAGATTTCCATTTTCCGATTTTGATTTTTATTCGCGAGATTTTCCGAAGGAAAAAATTCTTTCAAGACATAAAAAATCCCGGAAAGGATTCCCCAGTGTGAACCGGTCCACCTCAAGTCGCAGTCCAATCCAAACAAACACTTGCCACCCCCTGAAAAAATAATAAAAAAAAAAAACTCCCCCTCAGGAGCACGCGTCGCCGATTACGGTCTAATTCCCCTGTACGCATCTCTCTCATCAACCCCGGGTGAAGACCTGAGCATATCCCACATAATCCGCCTTGGTAACCCACTCTCACATACTCTCACTCATCCTTTATACCGCACACCGGTGGCACCTACCAGAGGTATCCGTGTCGCGGGATAAATAACCCACGCTCCAGAGACAGGGGTTGCCCCACGCATTTTTTTTACCGAGCTGTGACGACGGTAACCCTCCTGGTGCAACCCTCATCTCACTTCACACGGAATTCACCGAGAGTTACCTCAACCCCGCCGGAGGGATTCCTCACCCCCAGTGGGGCCAGAGGGACAGAAGTGCAAGGCAAATGTCAATATCGCTAGTAAAAAAAAGGAGAGAATTCCGGGGGAGACGAAGTAACGAGGGAACCGGGGCGATAATCAGGGCGTAATTAATCCCTTGAAGGAATTCTCCTCACGAGGTTTGCCCTGTTGGGCGAACATCCCAACCCTCTGGCACGGAAGAACAAATCGCAGTTGCTTTGAGCATCCATAGACATCCCCATATCCCTATATCCCTCGTAATATGACTTAGTCACTGGGTTAATGCACGTTATCAAGAGAGATAAATGGGTTTTGATGTAAAAATAAGGCCTTTGAAAAATTTATCCCTTCGGCTGTGTCCACTGGTGCATTATTTCGCTCAATCGTTCGACAACTGATAATTAAGGCAATCCTTCTCCATTCAAAGTCATTCTCATCCCCCATCTTTTTTTAATCAATTGTATTCTCTAATGATTTATGTTATGTGACGTGACTCGGAATAAATGGAAAAAAGATAATCGTGCTTCTGTAAAATTGCATCGGTGTACACGATGGTATATCCGACGACACTATCGGGAGGTTCGGATCTTTAATTCAACGTGAAAGTTTCTACCCCGGGCTCGCGCCGTCATCGGCATTCGACATGCGCTCGTTTTCCTCGTTATTTTTTTTTTCTCTTTTTTTTTTGCTCCGGGAGATATTCATCTTCTTTTGGCGTTAGCCGCTGGGTTTTATGCGCACTAGGGAATATAATTTCCGAGCTGAATCATTTATTCTTCTTGGAGTTTTGTTGATTTGTTCGGATTGTTCGTTCGTTGTTACGGCCATATTGGAATTGCGGGACCTTGGGAATCCGCGAATGAACCAGCCAATTAGAAGCACGCGCTCTCGCGCGCCCGCAAACCACCGGCAGCTGTCAACGATTCGGCGATAAGCTAATTAAAATATTTCGAAAGCACTCGGTTTGGTGATTCGAGGGGCTAAAAATGAAGTGAACACCAACAGATGCCGGTGATAGTGGTACAGCATATTTTTTTTTTTATCCACAAAAATTCAACGTCTTTGAATTTTTTTTAATATGGCTTTCAGATTCTTTTGTTAATCCAGCGCCATTCAAATTTGCCGCTCTACTTTATTCAAGTACGCCCTGGACTTATTCAAGTGTCTCATTATTTATTAATTCCACTACATCGGGGGCTGTGAATAAATTATCACGACTTTATTCTCCCCATTTACAAGAATTTCCTCAACTATCAATTAATTGAATAAACGAGTCGTTAAAATTCGACCATTTGTTATGGTATATTTCACGAGTAATTCTAATACAGTCAGTTGAGGAAAATTCTGGGGAAATACAATGGGAACCCCGTCAGCTGTTATTTTTCCGTACTTATTGTTCCATGGTATCGACCATTTGCCTCAAATTGATGTCATCTAGTCCGACCTTGGAACTAGGACGTGAGAAAAAAAAAATTTCCAATTTTTCCCCGAGTCATTTTTCTCTGGTGATCGATCATGCCAGGGGCTGTTCTGAACACTCCAGTTGGAGAAAATAAATTCGTCTCGTGAGGACCAGATGTTGCGCCCGTGACACAATGCAACAATGTGCAGTCGAAACGCAGAGATTAACAATCGAAAGTCGATATTCCAAGGGGAGAGAAGGCAGAAAGTATATAACGTCACCGGAAGTGTCTGCAATCAGATTTTTCGGTGAAAACAGAACTTTCATTTTTGTTTTCATTTCATTTTTGCGGTTGTCTCCAGATAAAAGTGACGTAACAACGCGCACCAAAAGGAGAAAATAATGAGAAACCGGAAGTAGCTAGAGGGATGAAGTCTTGATTAATCGGGCAATCAAGTAGTCGATATCAATGACTTGGGTGAGGTCCGACCTGTCAACCGATCATTCAATCAAGTTATTAAACTTGACTTGGATTGATTCAAGTCGAACTTGATGATGACTACGATCCAACTTGATCCATCGAATCGATCTAGCATTTGGAAATAAATTTCCAATTTCGTAGTAGTGCGCAAACTTCACATTTACGTCCTAGTACTTTAATGTGGCTTTTACGCATGAGCAGGCATGCGCAATTTTTTATTTAATCCTCCAATTTCCTATGGCAAAAGCTTGATGGCTTGGCCTATGCAACTCAGCTGACTTCGATTCCAATAAAACAATTTTATTCTCAAAACGACAGATGGCTGGCGCACGCCAACTCGCGATACCCCGAAAGAGCCGTTGCTTTCGTTAGAACCCCTTGGAACGGTTAGAAAACAGGTTGTTATATTCCACCGCCCGCCGGAAGGATAAGGTTTGTTTAATTTCGCCTTAAAATCGGGTCAACGAACCCAGCCATTTTCAAAATAATCAATCGCCCAATCCCCTATCCCAGGAAAAACTCGATTAAAAATTCACAAAAGTATCAACTCCATTATTCCGTTCAATTCATAAATATTCTGTTGTTTCGTCCAAGTTCCACTACTGACACACGTCAAAAACAACGGAATAATGCAATGAGAAAAATAAATCCACCCTCGTATGACGCAATATTCGAGTGAATTCGATTCGTTCTCGACCGCAGGAATCGACAGCCGTCGGCCACGCTCGATCCATCGGGAATAATAATTCAAAATTACTCGCATTATTCGACTGGACGAAAATTTATGACATCTCACTGGCATTCACTCCTCCATTCTTCGGATTTACCCTCCCCCGAGGGTCTAAATCCCCAACTATTTTTCATTCTCAGACAGCAAAGGCAATTACTCCCTTAGCATGTCATTTCACAATTGCACAAATTATTCCTGAGAATAACCAACAATTAATTCATTCAATACATCTCTGACTTGTTCGTTATAAATAAAATAAATAAAAATGTCATTTTCAAAATTTCAAGAAAAATTTCAATACCGCGGATTGAATCGTGGCTTTTTTTTTAGATACCAGTGGAGATGCGAAATAACCAAAAAAATTGTACCGAATGCCTGCTGTTGGTCGTCAACACTCCTGAAGAGGTAGATGCAGTGTTTCCAGCGTAAACATTGGTTGTACCCTCGGTTTCGTGGCAGTTTGACGGGAAAAAGGCGTGCATCCTGCCCCGGCCGTATGCACTAGTGAGAGTTGGTTAGTTTTTTTTTTTTCCTTCATTTTTGTACCCGGCTACGCCCTTAAAACTCTACATTTTCGAGGTCTGACTCGTATACACGAATATATAGATGGCTCGTATATACGAATATATAGAAGGCACTGTCAGGGCCAGCTGCGAGGCGCCCAAGCGAAACGACGACCACGATGAACGCCGTATTACTCGGAAACGTTGTAAAAATAATTATTAAAGCCGTTAACATCAAGTCTACTCATTTTTTTTTTATCCTCCGCTGCTGTGCAGTATGGGTTTAAGGTAAAGACCCTCGTCCGGAGGTTCATGCGACGCTTTCTCCTCTCTTTTTTTTTTCACCCCGCGAATGTACCAATTATCGCTGAATTTTCAGGTACATGCAACTGTGCAATTCACGGATAAAATTAAATTTAACTTTCATTTTGTTGTTGAAAAATTAAAAGAAATTTCAATGGATTTTTTCAATTGACTCACGAATTTTTTTTAATTGTTCATTTTCTTTAATCGTTTCACCCTATTTCTGTCGGTAATTATCTCGCGATC